TGACGGGGGGGGGGAACGAAGAGGAGGATCGGGAGGGGGAAGAGCACGCACGCACACACGCACACACGCACACGCGCACACACGCACACACACACACACACGCAAACCCCCATAGGGTTGCGTTGTGTTGTGTTGTGTTGTTCGCCCCCCCCCCCCCCTCCCCTCTCCCCCCCCGGGGGGGCCTGCCCCGCCTGTATCAACGACAACAACAAAAACAAACAACAAACAACAACAACAACAACAACAACAACAACAACTGCTGCTGCTGCTGCTGCTACTGCTACTACTACTACTACTACTACTACTACTACTACTACTACTACTACTACTACTACTACTACTACTACTACTACTACTACTACTACTACTACTACTACTACTACTACTACTACTACTACTACTACTACTACTACTACTACTACTACTACTACTACTACTACTACTACTACTACTACTACTACTACTACTACTACTACTACTACTACTACTACAGCAACAACAACAAGAACAACAACAACAACAACAAAAACGCTCGCGGTTTGCCAAAGTCTGAAGAAAACCAAAGGTGTTTCGACATTTTCTCAAAATTCTCCCAAACGGGCCTCTCGCGCCGCATGTGAAACAAAAAAAAAAAACATTCGAAAGTCCACGCGCGCGCGCTCGGGGTGGGTGCACGATCCGTGTCAAATAAAACCACGCGAGCCACTCCCGCGCGTCGGCCGCGCGAGGCCGCGCGCGCATGTCGAACTCCTTCCAAAACCTGCATCACCGACGCGAGGACACCGCCATCGCCGTCGGCGTGATCAGCACCGGTGCCATCACAAGCCGTGCCGTCGTCGTTGTCACCATCGTCACCAGCACCGCTGCTATCATAATCGCGTCTATCGTTGTAAGCGTTGCCATGATACCGCGCCCGCCCAATTCGCCGACTCGCATTGAAGTGCCCGCTGGGAAGTGCCCAGCGGTTAGCGCCACCGCGGCCGCGTCGGTCGCGCCAAATTAGCTGGCCGCTTTGCGCGCGAGCATGCGCGCTAGCGCGGCCGCGGCGATGCGCCAGCCAGCGCCGAGCAGTCATCGCGATCGCCGCAGCATGGGTCTTGCAAGCCAAGCTGCGGGTGGGTGGGTGGGATGATTGCGCGAGCAGTGGAGTTGAGAACTTCAAATTCAGCAGGGCGAATTGCACCGCATAGATTGCACCATATTGATTTCACCACCTAGACTCTAGACTGCGCCGCAGACGTTGCAAGACATCACGAGAGTCAGACCGAGTTCAGCTAGATGCTTTCGGGGCTGCTAAACCGTTTCGTGCAATCGAGAGTCTGTAGCTGCTCTGAATCTCGAGTCGAGATGATACCAACCGAACGCGCGCACAAAAATATGGTCTCACGCGAGTTGCCGCCCAATGAATTCTCCCCCCTCAAAATGCTCCGATCGACCAGAGATCAAGATGGCGAACAGGAATAAGATCGAAAGGCACCAAAAAAACTCTGCCAGAATGACTTGATACAAATCTGCCAAAGTCTTTTTCACCTAAGCAAATCTCATTAACTGGGAGCCTGCGGTAAACCGTCAACCAGGTTACCGCCGGGACCCTCGGAGAGACCCTTGTGCACGTAGCAACGCGCAGGCTTTCTGGAATACAGCAAAAACTCGAAAAATACGTTTCAACTGTCACGTGTTTTTATAATTCTCAAAGATGTTTCAATAATGGAGCACGTGCGCGGGCAACGCCTCGCTCACAATGTCTCGCTCGCATTGCTCACAGTTCAAGGATGCTGCGTCTTGCCGACGCCCCCGCCGTCCATGTTGACCCCCCGCGGTGATTGCCGTGTTGACTCAGCAGCGGGACTCCTTCTGTCTCTCTCTCTCTCTCTCCCCCTCCCTCCCTCCACCGCAACCTTCTTCTCCCTTTAGGTCGGGCGTGTCCCACTACAGGCGGATTTTGGGCGAAAAATGAAAACCGCCAAAAATACCCAAACATAGTCAACAATAGTCAAACAAATCGTCCCCTGACTATTTTTTAATTTTTGGATAACTCTCCTGTAGAGGGACAGGCCCGACTTAATTCTCCCTCTCTCTCTCTCTCTCCCAGTCCGCGCAAAGGGTCGAAATCGTTGCCATGCTCCACTGCGTGGCCACTGCCGAACGGCCCGCCTACATCTCTGTGGACAACCGAGCTGTTGGATGGGCTTGAAGGTTTCATCCGAAGTAAACCGCCACAGCGTGTCGGACCGCAATCGAGCATCGGGGATCTTCTGACCTGAGTCAATCCAGACCCGGGTCAGTCAGGCCTTGCAGAATCCTGCAAGATCCTGCACCCAAACCCGGGCCAATGCAGAGGATCCTGCAAGATCCTGCAAGATCCAGCACCCAAACCCGGGCCAATGCGACCCTGACCCTGCAGGATCCTGCAAGATCCAGCGCCCTGGCTGACCCCCGTTTGCATTGACCCCCGTCTCAAGGCTCCCGAAGGCCACTGGCGAGGAATCCAACGGGTGCCCGAAGCCAAACCCGACCTTTTTCAAAACAAAGAACCGGGAAGTCGAAAGCCACCTCGGGGAGCAGCGTGTCAACGATGACCGCATCACGCCCATATCAACCGACATGCCGACGAACTCGCTACGGCGGGGGCCAGGCTACACAGCATCCCACACGACGCCATCGACGCTGCCAGGTGGCGCCAAACTTTCGCCGCTGTCATACGGACGCCATCTACGGTCAACGGCACCACACGCTTCCTTTTCCCCACAGACGGGCGGGATGTTCCAGGACGGAGCTCTCCAAAATGGAAATAGACCGGCGCACCACCAGCCACGGAGGACAAGGTGTTGACGCACACGGAGGACCACCTCCGGCGGCGGAACGACCAGGTCCCCAAATCTTCGACCTCGACGACCCCTGGCTTCAGCGCCGCCGATGACCGCGACCCCCTTGGGTTTGGGGTTCCCCTCGACGGTGGGGATGGCCGCGTCCACCCAACACTATGACGTCACTCTGAAAACGTCAACACACCCGATGGACACACCGCTGAAAGTGGTACCGCGCTACCCCATCTGGGAGAGGAGCTGCGCATGCACCAGGGGCCAGCACTGCCGCCCCAACCCGCTGGGCTGGCCAGTGCTACTGCGCACCCAAGCCGCCAACACAGCGCATCCTGCCACCCAGGCACCCCACCCCCCGCCCCACCAGGGAACGGGGACCATGGGCCCGAACACCACTCACCAGGGAGCTGGCAGAGTCTGACCGCGGAAAAGCGTGCTGATCGGAGGAACACCCTCACCCATCACCCCACTGCGACCAATCATCTGCGACCGCGAGACTACTCATTGCCAGGATTGAAGCAGTCAGCCAGGGCGCCAACCAGCTGGTGACTTCCCTTCAAAAGATGCAGGAACAGTCAGCACCGCAGGTTCCAGTGTGCACAGGAAGCCTGGTCTCTCACTCGTCGGGCTTGCCGCCCTGACGCGACCAGAGGGACCACCCTCTAGGGTTTCCTCCGGACCATCCTCCAATCCCAACAAGGGCGGCACACCAATGATAACCCCCCTCCATGCGGACACTGAGAACAGTTGGCACCTGTTCCGCTGCGGGGATGCCCCACGGCGGCGCCTCTCTGAGCTGGGTGCCGAAGCGTGCACGTCAACCCACGCGCAAAGCTGGCGCCTTACTCCACGCGGTAGCGCAGACGGGCCCCAAGGGGATCTGATCACCGCCAGCCGTATCTTTTTCCCAGCCGTGGACCCCCTCTACTCCGCGCCAGGGGGGAGGTTATCCCACCACCCCTGTTTAGCATGCGGTGCCTCCTGCTTTGTGAGACGGGCCCGCTGAGCACGTGCGGCTTAGGGGTCCAGACGATGACACTGTCCGAAGTGGTGCGCTCTCCTCTCCCTCTCCTTTTCTCTTTGTTTCTCTCTCTCTCTCTCTCTCTCTCTCTCTCTACAAATAGAAATATATCGGTCATATGTGTATATATAGATGTATCGCTCTCTCTCTCTCTATATATATGTGTATATATATGTATATCCCCTCTCTCGCACATATAAATGCGTTGTGTTGTTGCATCCCTACAAGCGCGTTCCACATCATGTTCGTTCCGCGTGGAAGTCGCGCATCAAGGCAGCCAGGCGTGTGGCAAACGGCCAGCTGATGGTTGTAACGAAGTGGAGTCCAATTGAAGACGGCCATGGTTCCCCTTACCCATTCTCCCACTCCGTTCCCACACGCTGCGAGATCCAAGCCTGGAGAGCCTTCCTCCTCCCTATCCTCCTCCGCCTTATCGGGAAGCTACGAGACCTGGGCCAGTATTCGGGAAAGCTGATGACCAATCGCTGAACCAGCCCTCAATCGGCTGACTCCTGAACCGAAGGTCAAGAGAAATAGCTAGCGCTCCCAGAAAGATACTCAAAGAGACGCTCGGCAGATAGAGAGGTGGGAGGTGTATAGATCGTCCGCAAGCCTGCACAAGAGAAGGCACCTGCTTCGACTGGGCGGAGCCAGAGCGGGATCGGGGCCAAGGTCAAACCCGTGGCCAAACCCCGCCCTGCAAGTGCAACTGCGGTGCAACTCCTCCTCCAGCATCCTTCCTCCTTCGCCTCCTCCTCCTCCTCCGCCTCCTCCTCCTCCTCCTCATACACGCTCCTCCCCCAGACCTCCTCCTCCTCCTCCTCCTCCTCCTCCTCCTCCTCCTCCTCCTCCTCCTCCTCCTCCTCCCGCCTCGCCCCTGGGCAGGAGAAGCTGATCCGTGGGTGCCACGGGGATGCCCTGCCTGGCGCACTCCCCGGCTGCCGCCCGCCCACCCCCCGGCTGCGAGCTCCCGAGCGGCGGCCCCTCGACCCTCGGGCGACCGCAAGACTCGGGCACGACCCGGGGCGCACGCCCGAGCCGTGCGCGTGCGCCCGCGAGCTGTGCCCGCCCGGCCCCGTCGCGCGAAGGGGCCTCGAGCGGCGGCCCGCCGCGAGCCGGACCGGGCCCGCGGGGCCGCCCCGCGGGCGGTCTGCCGCCTCCTCTCGCTCGCTCTGCGAGCGGTCGCCGTGGATGGCGGTGACCGCCACGCCGGAGGTGTGCAGGTCCTGGGCGGCCACGCGCAGGGGGAGGGAGGCATCCACCGCGCCAGCGGGGAAGGAGAACGACTGGGCCTGCCCACTGCCCCGACCTCCGACGCCTGGATGTTTCAACGCGCGGGGCTTCGCTGCTCTCGACCCCACCTCTCGTGGGGGTGCCTGGCCGCGGGCTGCTTCTTGTGCGCCCAGGGCCCGCGACGGGCCCCCAGGGGCCCAAATTCTGAACGCTTGGCCATCCTGCTTTGGCGGACCTTCTGCGGCCAGCGAAAGTGAAATAGCGAGTGAAGGGGGCGGGGAGGAGGAGATCGCGAGGCCTGGGAAAACGCGCAGCTCAGGCATGGCTGCTCCTCGCCCCGGCCACCCCTTCCGCAGGCAAAGACACAGCTGCCCGACCCGAGGCTCTCGGTCGGAGTGGGGCTCCCCAGACAGCACCCGGGCGGCGCGTCGGTGGCCGCGGGCAGCCTAGCAGACGTTCCCTCTCTTCGCGCTCTTCCTGGGGGCCGGGCGCGGCCGTGCGGCTGAACCGCGAGGGCCGGAGCGAGCTCTCGGCGGGTGGGCCGCGAAGGGCTGGCCGATTCCACGTTCTGGGGGGGGGCGGGCGCGGCCATGCGACGGGACCGCCAGGGCCAGACCGAGCCCACAACGGGTGGGCCACGAAGGGCTGGCCGATTCAAGAGGCGAGCAAGAACCTTCTAGAGCGAGGGCAGGATACGAAGAATTCGGGTGCAATTGAATCGGGAACTCTGGGAGCTGGCGAATCAAGAGCATGTATCGTGCGCCGCGGTCGCTGAGACGGCTCCGGAATCATTTCATTATTGGTATGATCAAATTGTCCTTATTTCTTGTATCCCGAGGCTGCAACTAATTTGCACTCCCTCTCCCCCTGCCTCCCTCCCTCCGCCCCTGCCTCCTGGTAGCATCATCCTTTCTGCCCCCTCTTCCCGTTCTGACCTCGATCGTTGATGTTTCTCTCTTCAGGGGCAGCCCCCAGCAAACGTGTGTGTCTGGCGCCGCAATGCGCTTCCAGCATTCAAGTCTAAACTGAAACCCAAGACAACTGAACTGTTAAAGCATATTCGCCACGTTCAGGGCCTCTAACGAAGAGCCAGGGAGCCAGGAACCAGATGGGAGAGGATCAGGGGGAGAGGAGCAGGGGGGGGCTTCGTCGACACGACCCTCTCCTACTCCACCCGTTGCCTGGGAGGCGATGCCGAAAAGACAGCCAGCGTCAGGGGGGAGCGTGTCCAGCTCTAGGCTGTCCGCAGACTTCTTGGTCTCAACGAAGATGACTGCCAGGCCTCCCTTCGGGAGGTTCTCCTCGGCAAGAGTGGCGGCGGCGGGAGGAAGATGGGGCATGATTGGCTTCAGAAGGGGGGCAGATCTTGCCTCTCTCTTCCACACTAGCTCGCATTTCCGATGACGCGAGGATGAGGGGACTGGGCTTTGGATACATTCCTCTCTTCCCCAACTGCACATGTTCCCATGGAGGAGCAAGTAAGAAGGAGAAAACTATCGTGCGAGGCAAGCGTGCGCCAGCGAAGCGCTCGCTGCAGGAAGAGTGCTGAACAATGAGCACTGCTCTGGGCGGACCGTCCCATCTCCAGTGCAGGAACAAACTGCCGCTGAGCGTCGAGGACTTCGACCGCCAAGTTCCCCATGGGCATGGTATGAATTGGGCCTGGCCTCTCGGCCACGAGCCGCGCTGAGGGAGGAGGAGGAGGAGGAGGAGGAGGAGGAGGAGGAGGAGGAGGAGGGGCAGGAGGAGGAGGAGGAGGAGGAGGAGGAGGAGGAGGAGAGGAGCAGGAGGCCGCCTGCCGTCCCCGCCGTGATTGTCGTTTACTCCATCCTGCACAATGTTTCACCGATGCGTATCATGTCCCGACCACCCCGGGCGACGGCCCAGGACGGCCAACGGCCTTGACCCGCTCCGGGAACGGCGCGGCCGCCAGCGACGGGGACAGGAGGAGGCGCATGGGGGAGGCATGCAAGCACGAGGCGCAGAGGGCATGCGCAAGGACCCTGCGACGCACGAGCAGCAGCGGCGCGGCCACGGCACGACGGAGATCTGCCCTCCGAGGCGCGACCAGCGCCGACGCGCCCGAAGCGCAGCGCAGCCTGCGGCCGCAGGGCCCCGCCACTAGGGGGCAAACAAACCTACCTCGCTTTTGACCACCCTCGCTTCCAAGAGATACCAAGCGATGCCAAACTACGGCATGCACTGGTCAGGCCGCTCGACGAGGAGGCGTATGGTATGACTTGGTTTTGCCTGGAAGCGAAAGCGGGGTAGGTAATTCACGCTTTGAGCCACGGAGGGCCCGCGCGCCGGCTGCCGGAGAGGCCCCACGACCCAGAGGCCACGGGCCTCCCTCGCCAGCGCGGCGTGTCGCCGCACCCTGGGCATCCGAAGAGCTCTCTGGGGAGGATGAGAGGGGAAGGGAAGACGGGGAGGAGGAGGAGGCACGGCCTTTACGCAGCAGGTCTGTCCCAAGTCTGAGAAGTCCGCCACCCACGGAACGGGGAACGAGCGAAGACGGAGCCTCTCGCATTACAACCTCAATGAGGAGGGAGACCAGGGGGACGCAGTACACGGAGACCGGGCAGACGAAGAATCACGAAAGCGAGTATATGATGAAAGAGCTGGCGCGGAGGCGTCCCCGCGGTCAGCCCAAGCCAGTACGTCCACGCATCGATACACCACCCAAGACCAGCCAATGTCATGATCGGGTGAGAGGTCGCCGGAGGCAGAGTGGAGTATGTTCAATATGTCGGAGACGTCGGACTCCGCGACGGTGTCCTCAAACCGACCGTAATCAATGGGCTTCGCACTGGGGGGCGATCCAATGCGGGCAGCGCGAGGTAAAAGTCCTCCCCGAACCGTCAATCTCCCGCCCGCCGGGGTTCAAAAATGTGTCATCCGGGCGCTCGCACTCAACCCCAAACTCGCACACTACCACCGATGACGATTGCCCCGCCTTGTCGCTGCGAGCAGGCGAGCGAGCACCCCGCCTGGCAGAGCTGAGCAGGCTGGACAGAGAAATCTCGACCTCCTGAGGCCGCGCGCGGAGCACCGCGAACTCCTCTCTCACGCTTCCCGGTGGGTCCGAGGTGCCACCAGGTGGGGTGGCGTGGCCGACCCCAACCGTAGCGGTCGGTGTGCCCTTCGAGCACGCGCCCTCTAGCATGCAGCGAGCACACGCGGTCCGCGACGCGGTTTGCAATGGTTTCCACCTGCGGGGGCAGACAGTCAGCGACACTCTTAGCAACCGCAGGGATGACCTCACCTACGCTGGCCGCGATAATTGGCACCACGGCTTCTATCATGATCTTCTGGAGAGCAACCGGCGCCACTCCGCGCGTGTGGTTCGACGCCTCCTGTTGGAAGTGCCTGCGCCCAGATTCCAGAACGTTGAGCTGCGCTTTACGGAACCGAAATCGTCCCACACCACAGCAGACCCAGAAAAAGGACCAGAGGGGCAGTCGTCGGCGCTCGCGGGGTCCTCGGGTGTCTCACTGCGCTGGTCACCTTTCGCAGATGGTGCACAGGAGCGTCAATCAATGATGCCATGGAGCCTGGCGATAAACATGCTTTGCGACTCCGCAAGGCCGTGATATGCCGCAAGCTGCGTCTCATACTGGCATTTGGCATGTCGAGGTTGTGAGGAATAGGAACCTTTTCAACACCAGCTTGGATCTTGAACTGCACACTGCGCACGGCAGGTTTTCGGATGATTTTCGGGCACAAAATTTGTCATACATGCACTCAGTAGTGTAGCGAAACATGTGAGGGGTGTGTTTGACTTCCACCGATGCATGCTTTTCCTGACTGTACTGCGTAAGCCACGCCGTTCCCGCAAGCGGGACGAGACGTCTTAGGTCGCTCGATCGGATGTTCTACGCTCTGCGACTCGAGCGTCGGCACGGTGAAAGGGCCAGTGCTCCGGCTCAGCGACGAGCATCCGTGGCTGCCTCGTTTCGCCAAGTCGCGAGCGAACCTCGGCACAGGTTATCCCCGTGGGTTTGCGTCTCTGGAAACGCCGCTGCCAATTCGCGATCAAGAGTCTCGGGGGGGAAAAAACGTCTTCCCACCGATGCGTGTGGTAGTTTAATCACTTGATGCGCAATGCCGATCTGCTGAAGGCGCCGTCGCGTGCCCGAAGAAAGGGCTCTGCGACTGGCGTGCGCGGCCATCTGGAGCCCATTGAAGTGCTGGCCCGAGAAGTTGGCCAGCCTCCGCTTCGCGCGTCCGGCGGTATACGAAAGAACCCCGCTGGCGTCGCCCACCTGCAGACCAACGAGCACAGATCCCCCGAGAAATGGAATCAGAAGCACCTGCGGTATGGCAAGGCTGGGGATGGGGCGCGCCGCGCAGGGCAAGCCTAAACGCCGTCTTGCGCCAGTATGGCTACGGAGGGAAGGAGGAGGAGGAGGAGGAGGAGGAGGAGGAGGAGGAGGAGGAGGAGGCCGTCGAGCGCGATCGACAAGCGAGCACAACAACCGCGCGGACACTCTGGAGGGGCGGCAGGGGGGCAGACCCACGCACAGGCCCCGAACACGTAGTGGAAGGTGCAGTGGAAAGAGGGCAGGCTCGGGCAGAGCATGACGAGGGTAGCGAAGAACGCGAGCATGAAGTGCCCGAAGAAAAACCGGCACACGTAGCATATGAGAGCGCACAGCACGGCGCAAATCGGACCGCGGAGCTAATCGAGCCCAGGCTTTGGCGGGTCGTCCCCCCCCACCCCGGCAGCCCATTGCCCTCCGCGGCGCACATCGCCCATCGGCGTGTCGCAGACCTCGTCAGCCTCGAGCGAGCACACGGGCGCAACCGACCTGCCGTAACCAATATGCTGCAGAACTCGGTCGATCCGACGCCGGCCACAGACAAAAGCAGCTTCTGCCACAGGTCCCAAAACATTGACATCGATCGAGCCTCCGTCAGGACGACGGAAATGATGGGCGTGTTTTCCACCACCGCCACCACAAGTTGGACGGGGGGGGGTCCTCCTCCTCGTCCTCCTCCTCCTCCTCATCCTCCTCCTCCTCCTCCTCCTCGTCCTCCTCCTCCTCGCCCTCCTCCCCCTTCCCCCCCTCCAACTTATGGTGGTGGCGGTGGGGGAAGACGGGGCCCATCAGGAAGCGCACAAGTGCGTCGACGAAGGGCTCGCGGCCGCGGCGGCACGACGGCACGCCAGAGAGGCTCGCCCTGGGGGGCGCCGCCCGCGGAGGCCGCGCCCGCGAGCAGGCAGCGAGGAGCGAACATCAGCGGACTGGCTGGGCCAGGCTGCCCACGCAGTGTTCGGCCTGACCCGAGGAGCGGTACACCAGGAACGGAGCCCCTGGTCTTCAAGTCATTCTAGGAAGTCCGAAGGAACACCAGGGGGACTCGCCGCCCAAAAGGTAGCGGAACGCATTCAAACCAAAGGAACGACCGAGCCCCTTTTGAAGAGTAAGTGTTCCCCTCAATTCAAGCCAGACCCTGTACACTCTTGCACGTTGTTCCGACTGGCGCACACCGCTTCACAAGGCTTCCAGCGCTGCCCGATCGCATGAGAAAAAAGGGTGGCAAACTTGCCAGAAGCGGGGCCCACCAAGGGGGGGGTACCCTGAGAGGGGGTGCGGGGGGGGAGTTCCATCCGCCGGTGCATCGCATTTCCGAGAAACGGTGCCCCCCGCGCGCCCCGATTGTCGACACCTCTCGGGTTCCCGCGGCGGCCGGAGACCTCGTCTTGCATCGTTTGTCTGCGGTCCGATACCGAATTCCCCCCCTGGGGCCCCCCCCCCCTTTGCGAGGTCCCGACAGAAGCCTGTGCTCGATGTGCCCCCAGAGACGCCAAGAAGATGGCCCTCGGCGGCGCGCCTCTGACCCCGCCCAAGGCGAGACCTCCTCGGGAGTAGGCACGAGGTGCGAGTGCTGATCGCCTCGATGCGCTGCTCAAGCACACGACAACCGCGAGACGCCCGGACCACCCGTCGCAGCCGCGTCGGCCTCGCTCCAAGAACCAATCGAAGTTGGAGGCTTCCAAGCACTCGCTGCCGCCGACCTGCCACGCGAAGCACCACGTATCATCTGCGCGAGAAGGCTCAGATGTCCTCGCTGCATTCTGCAGCGCCTTCGAACTCTCAAAAAACCCTTGACAATATGTTATTGGCTGGTTTTGTGATGCCCGCAACCCCTTGCAAGCTCCAAGCTGTGAGTCGCAGAGACAATGAGAGTCAGCAAGAAATGAAATCGGCGTTAAATGATGTTGCTGGCTCCGCTGGTAACGACAGAACGAAATCCTATGCGCCGCCGTTATAAGAGCGCGCACGCACAGGGACAGGGCAAGGAGTGAGAGGACGCGCACCCCGTAGCTCACGTTCAAGGATGGCCATGAGCTCGTCCGCCCACGGGTCAGAGTAGTACCGCAGGACCTGCGAAACAATCGCAATACTCAATACTCGCATCCGTCTTGCAGCCGCCGAGGATCAACGGCCGTTGCCCATTAAGAGCCACCTAGACGCCAAAGCATTCGTGCCGGAGAACTTCACGAGACGCCGCACTGTGCGGCCAGGAAGACACGCTAGCTCATGACAAGAATCACCGATCTGGGCAACACGAGCCCTGGCTCGAGTCAACATCAAGCAAAGAAACATAACCGATGCCAACCAACTTGCGTCACAATGGCTACGGAAGGGCGAGGCGGAAGAGGAGGAAAGAGGAGGGGTGGGAGGAGGAGAAGGATGACGAAGAGGAAGACGAGGAGAACAAGTGCTCCTTGATGGCGTTCTCTAGGTTGCGGACCTTCGCCTTCGTCTCGGCGGCGTACACCACCTTCGCTCCCACAGGCGGCTTCAAGGTCCCGGAATCGCCGCGCGGGTGCAAGGGGGAAACGTAGGGATGAAGGAAGGGAGCGGAGGGGGGGAGGGGGAGGGAGGGGAGAAAGGGATGGGGAGAGGGAGAGGTGGAGGAGAGGGGGGAAAGGTAATGAGGGGCTGGCAACGACTGGTATACATGACAGAATGATGATCGGACCCTGTCAAACATGAGAGCGACAGACAGAAACAAGGAGGCACGCCATGACACGCTGGCGGAGGCCTCACGCAGTCCCGAAACAGACAAAGTACGGCCAAAGCCAGCTCTAGCCGAACATCCTCCAAACACACCCCACGGACGAGCCCAGAAACGCCCCGAGGCCAGGGACTTATAGCTTCTCGCGTGTCTGTTCGACGTGTTCGGGCTCTGCTATGTCACGCTGGCCATGGATAGCGATCGACGTACACGTACCCACGACACCAAAGCCTGTATCTACGGAGGACCGATCGCTACGCGGGAAGGACTCACCTCGACGAACAACAAGGATGCCAATCCTGCGCCAAGACCTTCCAAGACGGACCAGGATTGGTGGACTCCGAGACGTTCAGGCAAGGAGAAAAATGGCACTGCTTTGTGTCAGTGCCCGTCGTTTCACTTCACTATCGCCCACCCCCCTATCCTGTTCAAAATCTTCCGCACTGTGTCGAGCGATGACTGTCTTCAGAAGACGCTCCTGAGAGCCTTTCGTAATCACCTGAGTGGCCGCAGTGGCTCCTCCAATGGCCACCATTGGACCCCAGCGGCCCCCCCGCAAGCCTAGAGCAGCCTCCAGTATCTCCTCCAGTGGCCCCCCCGCGGCCTCCAATGGCCTCCAGTGGCCTCCCGTAGCCCCAATGGCCTCCAGTGGCGCAAGCAAAAGACTGTGGACCACTGGAGGCGCAGGAAGGCCAGGCCAAATGACAATAAGAGGCTGCCAGGATCGTCTTCTGAAACTGTCCGTCCAGACCCAAGACGCCGTGCGCTCTGCGTTCTCCGCACTGGCCAGCGGTGGCGCTAACCGCCGCCGATCCAGAACTGACCCCCGTCGCGAGCAAACGACGCACTCCAAAACAGACCCCTTCCCCCCCCCCCGTGCACGGTGCACAAGTCGGGGGCGCGCAAACATGGATTAGCGATCCATGGATTTGGCGCGCGGTCGCCAAATCCATGGATCGTGGGAGGTGCCCTCCCCAAAATGCGGCCGGTGCCGCCTCGTTCGGCGGCGGGAATCCACGATTTCCAATGGAAACGGGAACGGCGCTAATCCACGCCCCCTTAATCCATGTTTGCGATCGCCTGAACAATCAAGGCCAGGAATCCCACCCTCGGCGGCGGGCACCAACCAACGACTTCTGTTGAATAGAAGGCTCGCCTATCGAACTTGTGCGCTCAAAGTCGCGTTTCGGTCCTGCGGGAGCCTTCTCGATGAGGACCAGGAGGAGGGCGAGGAGGAAATGGGAGGGGAGGAGGTGAGGAGGAAGAAAGGGTAATTTTGATGATACAGACGCGTGATGAAGACGAGAATCCTCCCCCTGGCCATGCCCCCCCCCCCCCTACATAATCGGTCGAAACACTCCAGATGCCCCGGCCACCCCATGCCCACAACAGGCCCCATGGCTTCCTTCTGCAAGGGCTTCCAACAGAAGAGCCTGGCTGATCCATGTTGCATCGCGAGGGTGACTACGATGCTGGATGCGTGCCACGCCGCACACGCAGAATGGGTGAGGACGGCAGACTCTGCCTGCAGTCATCGGCTCGGGTTGACATGAATGAATGTGGCCGTCATGATGGCATGATCGATCCGAATCCACTCCTGGACAGAGCCTTACAGGCTGTACATCATGGCCCCCCCGCGGTCACCCGCCCTTGCCTCGACCGAGCCCTGATCATCTCGACCGATCCCACCCACGCCCCCTCCTTCTGCTGAATCAACTCCGAGGCCGAGCCCACGCGGCCCACAGTGATGAAGACGTAATCGTTCATGAAGTCCTGAAGCCCGGGGCGCTCGAACAGCCGCGCAGAAATATCTGGACCTGGCCTGGCGGTTGACAAGGATACGGCCTGTCCAAAGATGCCAAATTACACATCCTCCGTCTCGGCTCCCGGAACCCCATCCACGTTCGGGGCGCTAGTGCGCGCGGTTCAGCGCTGAAGAAGACACCGCGTATGTTTGATACTACCGCACGCGCAAAAGCCGACGAAGAGGAACACAGCTCCGCCCTGGTCGAACACTGATGAAGACGGTGATGGTAATGACGGTGTTGATGACATAGGTGCCCGCAAAAGTCCAAGCCTGACAATTCATCGTTACAGATCGGCACGGTTCAACGGAGCACGGGTGGAAAATTATGAAACGAAGCCGCCGCTACTGCAGCAAGTCCCCGTGGAGGTCCTGAGCCAAACATGATCACATGTTCCATGCCAAAGAGCAGCTCTAGTTGCACCACGCTTTCGCAGATGCCTGTAAGGAGTAAGACGTGGGTGAGGTACGCCGAAATGTCGAATTGCAGTTGAACCCTGGGGGAACTGACCCGCCGACGGAACTGATGCGCCCGGGCATCCCAGGAGTCTGGGCTGGGGCCCAGGGCGGGCAGGATCGACCCGACCGCATCAGGGCACCACGAACGCCAGATCCTGCAGGCGGTGGAAGATGCGGAGACGGCCACTTCCTCGCCCCGAGGCACGCGACACGGCCGGCGCGCCAGGAGCACTGGGGAGGCCAGGGGGGGGGCCCGAGGAGGAGCAGGGGCAGCAGCGTGTCCTGGGTCCAGAGGGTCTGGCCCGGGCGCTGCCAGGATGCGGATCTGGGCCGAGGGTCCCCAAAAGCTGGCTCTTCTGAGTGGAAAGTCCAGCAGTCAAGACGCACACGCGCACACACACACACAACTGTCCGGAGGCTCGCGCGGGGCTTTTGGAGTCGACGCTGGACTCTCCTCCCCAGGTCGCGCGAAGTGCGACAGGGGGCGCGGGCGGAGGCGCTGCCCGTTGGGAGGAGGCCGGCGCCGCCACTGGCCTTCCGCGCGGCCCTCCCTGAGCATGTTCTTAGGGCGGAGGGCTCAGGCGGGCTTTTGCACCTCGAGAAGCAATCCGTTCTGTGACTCGCCTCTTGCAGGTTCAAGCCTCGAGAATCCATCGAATCGGCATTGCAGATTTCACCCTCTGCCCTCCACCCCAAGGAAATGCTGGCCCGCCTGCTGGCCCGCCCTCCTCTTCCGCGAGCGCCGCTGTGCGATCGGCCGTGCCGCGTCCCGGCGGCTGCTGTCCGACGCCTCGCGGCGCGCGCACCCGCCGGCAAGAGCCTCCCGGCCGCACGCGGCCATCGGCCGATGCCCAGCCTGGAGGGTTTCTCCGAAGGGCTTCGGCGACCCGTCCTCGGCCTCCTCCCTCCTCCTCCTCCTCCTCCTCCTCCTCCTCCTCCTCCTCCTCCTCCTCCTCCTCCTCCTCCTCCTCCATCCTCCTTCTCCTTCTCCTTCTCCTCCTCCTCCCTCCCTCCTTCTCCTCCTCCTCCCCCTCCTCCTCCTCCTCCTCCTCCTCCTCCTCCTCCTCCTCCTCCTCCTCCTCCTTTCCGAGAATGCCGCGTCTTGCCCGCAAGAACTCCACGCCCCCAAGAAAATGCCGCGCTTTACTCCTCGAGGGACTGGGCAGTGGCCCGGCCCCTGAAGGCCTCGAGGCCACGCTGGCTGGTGTGGGCGCGAAGCGCGTCGCTCTTCCTGGTGAGGCCAGCCAGGCTCGCGGCATACTCCCCCTCCTCCTTCTCGCCTTCCTCGCCATCGTCCTCCTCGTACACCTCCTCCTCCTCCTCCTCCTCCTCCCTCCTCCTCCTCCTCCTCCTCCTCCTCCTCCTCATCATCATCATCATCATCATCATCATCATCATCATCATCATCATCATCATCAGCATCAGCATCAGCATCAGCATCAGCATCATCATCATCCATCATCATCATCATCAGCAGCATCATCAGCATCAGCATCATCATCATCATCATCCATCATCATCCTCATCATCATCAGCAGCATCATCAGCATCAGCGTCAGCATCGTCATCATCATCGTCATCATCATCAGCAGCATCAGCATCATCATAATCATCAAAATCAGCATCATCATAATCGTCTTCATCACCACCACCATCACCACTATCCGCATCATCACCATGAACAACAGCAACAGCAGCAACAACAACAGCAGCAACAATACCAACAACAAGTGCAACAACGATTGCAACAACAACAACAACAACAATTACTAGCACGTGGGGACACTCCGTTCTCACCAGTGCCAGGGTTTTCATAGGAGGCGGGCAATACCCCCACTTTGTGGGGGGGCCGGTTCAAGCTCTACCAAATTTCCAAACGACTCTTCGCCACCACCCACACCCAGCTTCCCGCCCTATGACGTTCGGACACTTCACTTCGTGGCATGCGGACGACCGTGGCTACTATTCAGGGCCCCGCGGCCGACGACGACGGCGTGCGCGCGCGAAGAAAAAACGAATGTGTCCCGCATGGTATTATTTGACAGGGATGATGGCCCTGGCAGGTGCGCAACCGTTGTCGCAGAAGTTCGAAAAAGTTGCTCGCAAAAGCCCGTTTGACAGAAATGTTTAAAAAGTGTTGGGTTTCCTACGAATCCGCAAGAGCGCGCGGGATGAGATTTTGACATTTTTTTGTTGAAAAACCATTGGTTTTTTGATGTTTTTATGTTAAAATCGCTCCGAACACTAAGCTTTTGGAAGGATTTCGTCTTGCGCGCGCGAATGTCCACTTTACCTTATTTTTTGCAAGGGATTCTTGAAATTTGATTATATTAGAACAAGAAATGTCATTTTATAGTGTTTTTTGCAAGGGAAAACGGATTACAACAAAACAACCGGATCTGTACACACCCTCTTTTCTGAGGCTTCCTCACGAAAATGATGAAAATGTAGCTGCGGCCTAGGCGGCGCAGGGGGGGCGCGCACCAGGGGGCCCAACAATAATTATTCTTTAGAATAAATAATGTTCAACAACAACAACAACAACAACAACAACAACAACAACAACAACAACAACACACAACAACAACAACGACAACAGCAGCAACAGGAGTCGCCGCAAAACAACAACCGCTACCACAACCAACAACGACCCTAAAGGCCAGGTCGGTCGGGCAGGCCCAGACGGCCGGGTCAAGCGGGCGGGTCGCTGAAGCGTCGGTCCTGCATGAATCGCGAGGAAGTATCAGGCGGGAACCGCGATTCCCAAGTACATCGTAAGAAAGTCCAGGGCGAGAACGTGATTCCTAGACGGTCGGGGGCGCGACGTGTAAGCAACTTGAAAGACGTACAACGCGAGAGCGCGAATCCGGGATAAATTGTGAGAAAGTCCCGCGCGAGAGCGCGATTCGAATGAATTGTAAAGAATTGCCAGGCGGGGGCCGTGTCTGTTCGGGGCCAACAACGCAGTCTGAGCCGCAAGACTTTCCTCTGTAATAAACTGGGTGCGAGCCCCGGGAGGGACGCCAATTGAAAACATACAATGGGCACCAGAAGGAAGGGGGATCAACAAAACACATTCTTTCGAAAAGAACACCTCCCACGTGTAGTTGGCGCAGCCCCGAGAGCAGGGGGAGCGCGGGAGGAGAGAAGGGACAGCATGGAGAAAGAAGGATGGAGCACAAGAGAGAGATTAGCCAAAGGAGATTAGCAAGAGGCGGGTTAGGAGCACGAGAATAAACGGCTAAAACAGACGGGCGGGTCGGGCGGGCGGACCCTAACGGCCTGGTCGGGCGGGCGGGCCCAGACGTCGGGGTAGAGCGGACGGGTAGCTGAAGCGTCGGTCCTGCATGAATCGCGAGGAAGTATCAGGTGGGAACCGCGGGAGCCGTTGTTGTAGATCGGGGGCCAGCAAGGCAGTCTGAGCTTCAAGACTTTCCCCTGTAAAAGACCGGGTGCGACCACCGGTAGGGGCCCGTCAATTGAAAACTAATTAGGTGCACCTCCTCCTCCACCTCCTCCTCCTCCTTTTCCCTCCTTCTCCTCCTTCTCATCCTTCTCCTCCTTCTCCTCCTTCTCTTCCGCCTCCTTCGCCTGCCCCCTCTCCGCCTCCCCCCTCTTCTCCTTTTCCGCCTCCTCCGCCTCCTCCGCCTCCTCCGCCTCCCCCCCATCCTCCTCCTTCTCCTCCGCCTCCTCCCCCTTCCCCTTCCCCCCTCCTCCTCCTCCTCCTCCTCCTCCTCCTCCTCCTCCTCCTCCTCCTCCTCCTCCTCCTCCTCCTCCTCCTCCTCCTCCTCCTCCTCCTCCTCCTATTCCGCCTTCTCTGCCTCCTCCACCTTGTCCCCCGCTGCGCTGCCGGAGTGCGGCTCCTACTCGCTCCCCCGCCCTTCCTGGGCCCCCTCACGCCCCCGCTCCTGGGCCATCCTCTGCACCTCGCGCGGGAACGTGGCGGAGAACATCATGTTCTGGCGCGGGAACCTCCGCTTCGCAGCCACGGGGCGCGCGGGCTCCGCAGAGGCAAGGGGGCGGCGAAGGGAGCAGCGAGGAGGGAGGGAGGCAGGAGGGATGGAGAGGTGGGAGGCGCGAGGCGGGAGGAGGGATGGCTGGAAAGGGAGCGGGGAGGGAGAAGGGCGGAGGGAGGGGGATGCGGCAGGGAGGAGCGGGATGTTCGCAGGGAGGGAGGGAGGGAGGGGCGAGGACAGGAGGGAAGGGGGACCAGAGGGAAGGAGGGAGGTCGGGAGGAGGGAGGAGGGGGAGGAAGTAAGAAGAAGGATGGGGAAAGGAGGAAGAGGGGAGAGGGGCAAGCTAGGAGCGCTCGCGTCATGCCTGACGTCCTACCCCCACTCCCATCCCTTACCATTGCGCTGTTGTTATCTCGATCCGCGGACCCGTAGCATAGGGGACCTGGAACTCCCAGAAAGACCTCATTGTGTAATGCGGATAAGCAGAAGGATGAGCAGGAGGAAAAGGAGAAAGATGAGGAAGGAAGAGGAAGAGGAGGAAGAGGAGGAGAAGGACGAGAACGAACAGCAGCAGAAGCTGGAGTTGAAGGAGCAGAAGGGGCAGGAGGACCAGGGGTAAGGCATGAGGAGGTGAAATGGTGAAATGGCGGCCAGGGGAGTGTGGACCCCCTCGGTGTTCTAGACGAATTGTACGCTCCTGCTCCATCCTCTTCGTCAGTAACATTATCGTGTCGTTGTCTCGTTCTCTCTATATAAGTATCAGCCTCTATACCTCTCTCTATATATATACATATCATATATGCATATAGATATACACCTATCGCCTCACCCTCTTAAGCTATACCAATAGTATGCACACCCCGCTCGTAGTGCCCTTCTGGGTTGTTGTGAAGGGCTGTCGAAGCTATCATAAGTTGCTGGACGTTGCGCTAGAGTGTGCTCGAGGAATCTCGAGTGCTCTACAATCGACTGACCAACTTCTGACCTCCACGGTCGGTTCCAGGTGCTCCAGGAAGACCCAGAGGGCTCAGGCGTGTGCCAGATGAACCCAGACTGTCGACAACGCTCTAGGGTGCTCGGGAAGGCGTGGCATGTTTAAACGATAACGCAGCACTGAATTGGAAGACTCTACTATGCCCAAGTGCGTTCTAAAGGGTTCCAGGAGGCTTGGGGGGGTGAGTGCTTAGAGGATACCAAATGATGTAGTAGAAGGCTCCAGAGGGCTCTAGAATGCGGCGCAGGGTTCCAGAAGGCTTTGGGAACATGCTCCCGAGTGCCCTCGAAGGCTCCAGGAGGCTCCCGAAGGTATGCGGATGCCGCACCTTGGATGCAGATCTGCAAGGCGCGAGTGCTTCTAAGGGCTCTAGAGGGTACCACAAGTTTGTCGAACGCCTGAAATGGTTTTAGACAGCTCTCGAATGATCCAGCAGGCTGCAGTGGATTTGAACCTGCTCTGGAGGGCTCCAGACGGATCCAGAGAGATCGAGTGTTCTCGAGGGCTCGAGGTGGCGCTCAACGGCCCTGCTGGTGTTAGCACGCCTCAGAGGGCCCGAACCTCTGAGATGAGAGTTCCGACAAGGCGTTCTCTCGAGTTCTCTCAAGGGCTCCAGAGGGTTGAGACATGCTCTGGGGGGCACCAGGGGGCTCCAGTGGATGTTAGAATGCTCTGGAAGGCTTGAGAGGGCTCTGGGGGGTCCTGCCGACAAAAGAACATTTGAGCACGCGATGGAAGGCCTTCTATGGCTCTGGGGTGTTCTGGGAAGCTTCTAGACTCGGAGGTTAGAGGGTGAGATCGCAGTGGAACGGAGGGCACCCCACCAGAAAATCAGTTTCGGTTTCGTGTTCGTGTCGTGCGGGCGGGCGAGGCGAAGCTGCGTGGGCGCGCGACACGAATGATGCCGCCGCGGCTGAGGGCCGTGGAGCCGTTTGACCGCCCCGCCCCGGGCGCGCGGTGGCCCAGGGTGGCCCGCCGGTTGTGCGGGTGTGCCCCGTCGGTGGTGCCAGGGTGCTCCGCCAGTGGTGCGGGGGTGCCCCGTCGGTAGTGCGGGGGCGCCCCGTCGGCGGCGGGGGGGGGCCCGTCGGTGGCGCGATAGTGACATCGATAGTGAAATCAATAGTAAGATCGATAGTGAGATCGAAAGTCAGGTCAATAGTGAGGTCGCTAGTGAGATCTGTGGTGAGATCGATTGTGAGATCGGTAGTGAAATAGATCGTGAGACCAATTGTGTGATCGATACCCCGTCGGTGGCGGGAGGGGTCCCGTCGGTGGCGCGATAGTGAGATCGATATTGAGATCGATAGTGAGATCTGTAGTGAGGTTATTTGAGAGATCGATCGTGAGATCCGTGGTGAGATCGATTGTGAGAACGATGGTGAGATCGATCGTGAGATCGATCGTGAGATCGATGATGAGATCGGTAGTGAGATCGATAATGAGACTGGTAGTGAGATGGATAGTGAGATCGATAGGGAGATCGACAGTGGTATCCGATAGAGAGAGAGAGAGAGAGAGATCGATCTGAGTTCGATCGGGAGATCGATAGGGAGATCAATATATCGGAGAGAGCGTTATCCACCGCCGCTTTCCTGTGGAAAATTCCCCCCCCTCTTCCTCCAGAGCCCGGGGGTCCCCGCCCTCCCCCTCCGACCCCCCCCCCTGCTCGACCCCCCCCCCCCCCATCCCCCCTCCCTTCCCCCGGCAAAACCCTCTTCCCCCCTACCGCCCCCCCCCCCCCTCCGGAAAGCGGGGGGGGGGTCACTCCTCGCCACCGCCCTCACCCGCTATCCCCAGCACCACCGTCCCCCCACCACCACTGTCCCACTGTCCCCACTGTTCCCACCACTGTCCCCACTATCCCCACCAGTGCCCCCACCACTGTCCCACTGTCCCCACTGTCCCCACCACTGGCCCACCACGGTCCCACTCTCCCCACTGTCCGTACTGTCCCCACCACTGTCCCACTGTTCCCGCTGTCCCCACCATTGTCCCACTGTCCCCACTGTCCCCGCCGCCGTCCCCGCCACGGTCCGACTCTCCCCATTTTCCCCGCTGGACGGGTTGGGAAGCCTCAGTGACCCCTCCCCCTGACCCCCCCCCGGTTTTCCGCCAGCGGCGGTAGAACACGCTCTTTCATATATCGGAGGTTGGAGGGTGAGATCGCCGTGGAACGGAGAGCCCCCCAACAGGAAATCGGTTTCGGTTTCGTGCGGGCGAGGCGAAGCTACGTGGGCGCGCGAGAGTAATGACCCCGCCGTCGGTAGGGCGATTCGGACGCCGTGGACCGCCCCTCCGCCCCCAGATGGCACGCGGTGGCATGGGGTGTCCCGTCGTGGTGTCCTGTGGTGTCCAATTGGTGTCCCGTTGGTGTCCCGTCGGTGTTCCGTCGGCGGTGGGCGGGCGGTGGCCAAGGTGTCACGCCTTGGAATCGATGGTGAAGTCGATCGTGAAATCGAAACTGAGATCGCAAAATGGGATGGATAGTGAGATCACAAGTGAGATCGACAGTGAGGTTGATTGTGACATTGGTGGTGAGATAGAACGCGGGGACAATAGTGACATGACATCGCAGCGCAACATCGTCATCACGTGTCGTCGCTAATTCAAGGGCGCGTCACCAGCATCGTCATCATCACACCCATCGCATTTGCCAGCAGTTGTTTTTTTCCCCCCACCCCCCAACCTCCTTCTCACCCGAAGCGTGATCATATAGGTATATGATAGTTCTGGGGCAATCGTTGCAACGTGGTCTAGTACTTAGAAGGCTCCAGAGCGCTCCAGAAGCTTCGAAAATGGTAGAAAGAGCTATAGAGCTCCTGGGGAGCTTCTGAAAGGCTCGAGAGTCTGAAGGACTCCAGCACTGTCCAGAAGGCTGCGGCCGGACCTCACGATTCCCTAGAGGGCTCCTGACAGATCCAGAAGGCAATCGGGAGCTCTAAAATGCTCGCGGGGACCCTTTTATGCGGATCTGGAGGGCTCTGAACTGTGTTTGTCTGCATGGGAGAAGATTCCCAACCTCTCAGGGCTCGAGAAGACATCCAACAGCCTCTCGGGTGCCCCCCGCCTGGGCTCTCGAGTCTTGGATGTTTGAGACACACGCCAGGGGGGCCAGCGGGCCGTGGTGGGCTCTAGACGCGAGAGTGTGCCAGAAGGCCTGGCTGGGCTCCAGGGAGCCCCAGAGGGCCCATGGCCCCATGTGTTATACAGCGCGACTGTGCCATGCGAAGTCCTGGGGGCGCTGAAACGGATCAGAATACACTTCGGGGGGCTCCAACATGTTCTGGAGGGCTTCGCAAGGCTTTGGGGTGCTCTAGCAGAAGGTTGCAGGGGGGCGCCCTAGAAGTGTTGAGAATGATGTAGGGGGGCTTTAGAGAGCTCGGGGAGCTTGAGTGCTCGAGGGCCTGGCAGAGCACCACAATGCGTTCGAACACCTGGAGGGTTCTCGGAATGAGAACTCGTACGGGCTTCCAGAACGGTCCAGGAGGCTGTAGAGGTTTCCTACAAGTGCTCTAGTGGATTCTAGGCAGATCCAAATGGGGCGCTGGGGTGCCCTCGAATGCCCTCTGGACCGCTACGCGGCACGAAAAGGCTCTAAAGTGTGCCTGTCTGCATCGCAAAACGTTCAAGTCCTCTCAAGGTTCCAGAGGACATCCAACAGCCTCTCGGGTGCCCCCGTGGCCTCTCGAGTCCTAGAGGTTTGGGACATACGCCATGGGTGCCAGAAGGCTGTGGTGGGTTCTAGACACTAGCATGTGCTAAACGCCTTGGCAGGGTTCCCGAAAGATCCAGGGTGCCCACTGCTGCAACCTAATGTTTGAGACAGCGCGACTGTGTCCTGTGAAGCGCTGGGGTGTTCTAGGCGGCGAAGACAGGAGGAGGCGAAGTAGCAATTGCGTCGTTTCTCGCCGCCCCGATCCCTCCCCCCCCCACACTTTTAACAAACAGACGCACACACAGACACACACACACACACACACACACACTTTTTTTCGGTCGCGTCCACCAGCGAAGGCGCTAGCGGAGTCAGGAGCACGGCGCTACGGGACACGAAAGCGGCCTCATTAGCAACTAAACGCGCCGCAGGCCGGCCGGCCCACTCACCAAGCAGCAGCTGACTGCGCGGAGGAGACGGCGAGCTGAGGGCGCCCAGGGAAACACGGGTACATGCAGCCCAACAAAATGCTGGGAAATTGAGTTGTGCCGTGAGGCAAGACCCACACGAAGCACGAGGACGAGTGCGGCAGACTGCGTGTCCAACATGCCGTCTGGACGTCCAGGGGTGGTAAGCGATGGGCGAGTCGCCAGTGGGGCGCCACGCACAGGTCGCGCCAACGGCGTGTGCGAGCCAGCTGAGCTGCTCCGCCGAGGAACGTCGAAAACCAGCCTGGAGGGTGGGACGGGCCCAGGGGAGCGGCCGCGGCTGCGAAGGCTGAACCACTCAAAGCGGCCCGAACCCCAGGGGCACTGCGTGAGAGAAGCCAGGCCGGTGGGGATGAACATCGCCAGCGAGGCAGGGGAATCCAGGGTAGAGCTGCACGACAGCCGCCCGCATACGGAAGGGGGGCCACCGGCGAGTCACAGCCTTACCCGTCGTATCTGCCATTCCCCGCGGGGATCCAGGGTCGCAGCTAACCGCCGCTATGAGTGAGGTAACGTTACCGCCATCAGCGCGGGGTCCTGGTCAGCCCTGGGGTAAGGGGACGATCACCCCCTCGGTCCAGGGGTCTGCGCGCCTGGCAGCTGCCAGCCCGGGAGAGACCCGAGGGGAGGGACGGTGGGGACAGACATCACAGGCCCTACACACACACACACACACACGCACACACACAGGCAACAACAACAAAAAAACAGCCCGCCACGTGTTTATGTTTGTGTGGTTCTCGGGGTGGACGGGGGGCGACCAAAACTGGGCCCTACGAAGTTCTTCGGTACTCTAGGGGGCGAAGACTGAAGGATAGGAGGAGACGACATAGCAGTTGTTCGTTTCTCCCCGCCCCGCCCTCCGCCACCCCCCCTCTACCCCTCCCCCCCCCCCCAAAAAAAGCACGGAGCCAGCCTTTTTGCATCGTTTTCGCACTTGCTCGGCAGCAGCAAAAAGAGGGACCACTCTGCTCCTCTGTGGAGCCAAGCAGATGAAGGGAAGGAGGGGTAGGAGGACGACGAGGAACATGCGAAAGAGCGCGCAGAGCATGCGCGCGTTCACACCGCCACACACGCATTCAAAGATGCACGCGAAAACTCGGTGTGAAAGCCTCGCGCGCGTGCCCTCGGCCCTGCGGGACTCCGCAGTCCCCCGATCTCGCAACACGAAGGGGGCGACAACGACGAGAGAGGACACGGATCCGGAAAAGCGGCCCGCGCTGCGGCGAGAGCGCCATTCTGCACGACGGGGGGAAAAAAGCCGATCCGAAAATGAGGCCCACGCTGCAGCGGGAGCACCATCTTGGAACTCCGAAGCAACCGGGTCGACCAACAAAAGGAAGACACGCAAACCCGGCACAATCCTGCATGTGAAAGAAATACGCGGAGGGGCGCCTAGGATCTTCCGGACAGGGTCAGGGGAGAGAGGGGAGAGGAGCATTCAATATTGTGGAATGAGCTGGTACTTGGCTCATGCGAATGTATCTGTCAGCTCAGTTTGCACATGTACAATACGGATCCGTTGCACGTTGGGGACAACCCTATTCGCTACTGCAAAGGCATCCTTTTGTTTAGTCATCCTGAGCCATCCTGGTATCAAGATCTCCATCTCCATTGTGTATGGCGCCACATTTACATGCACGGTATGCGACCTGCGGCGGAATTAGCATGTGCCTCCAGTGACTTCATCCGAAGCCACCGAAGAGCAGCATCCTGATGTCATAATTCATGTAAGCACGCGCGCCTCCATCACTGGTTATGGCTCGATTACCGGTACTCTTGACATACTTCTGTTATTTCGATGAAGCCATCACACTGCAGAACGTTATTACTGCCTGCAAGGTTGCAACCACAGTGGTAGCGGAACAACTTGCTGTCTTATCTTGCTGTATTATGTACCGTTGACCACCCGCACTCCTCCATCACTCCTCGGCACCCCATCCTCCATCCCCCCCTCCCCACCTCCTCCCTCGTCCCTTCTCCCTCCGCGAATCCCCGACTTCCTTTCCCTCCTCCTCCCTTCTCCTGTCCCTCCGAACTCCTCCTTCCCACCATCATCATCAGCAGCAGCATCAGCATCATCATCATCATCAGCAGCATCAGCATCCTCATCATGATCATCATCAGCATCATCATCAGCAGCATCATAAGCATCATCAGCAGCATCAGCAGCATCATCAGCAGCATCAGCATCAGCACCATTAACTCCCTGATTTTCCTACTTCCTTGTCGTCTTATTCGTCATCCTCCTTACCACCAACACCTCTTCTATGTGTGTCCTCCCTCTTCCCATCTCCATCTCCGCTTCATTCCTCTCCCCCATCCTCTTCGTCCTCTCTCCTCCCCTGCATCACTCTAGCCGCCAGCTTCCCCGCCTGCTCTTTGATCCAAGGCCGGTCTTCTCCACGATTTGTCGCACCTGTGCGGGCGGCTATCTCGTCCGCCTTCCCTCCTCACTGCATCGTTCGAATCATCGTCCTGGTCGACTTCACCGTCGCCCTGCTCCAGCAGGCAGCTATATCAGCACGCGAAGCGCCCAGACACCAAGACACACGTGCACGTGCTGCGAGGCGACAGCGCGAGGAGCCGCGGGCAGAGTTCATACACCCCGTGGCGCCCCAGACGAACTGGCCGAAAGGGCCGCATCAGTGAGGTAGAGCTACACCATCATGGCCGTCATCGTCGTCGTCACCTGCATCATCGCGACCATCGTCATAATCGCAATCGCCGCCACAGTCGCGATCATCGTCGTCGGTATCGTCGTCTTCTGCCTTGGCCTCGTGTGCCGCTGCGCGGCATCACCCCACGGCCACCCAGGGACGGCGGGCTTCAAAAGAAGAGCCCGAGTGGCGCCAGCACGTGCCTGCTCCCCGCCCTGCGCCGACCGAGCGCCGCGCTCTGCAACCCGCGGGGTGGACAGCGCCGAGGGCCCGCACAGAGCGTGGCCGCCCCCAGAAGCGCCGAAGACGGTGTGGATATTGCGCCCCAGTCCCCAGGGGGACCTGATCCCGCGTGGCGCTCATCCCTGCCCGCCGCCCCCCCCAATCCTCCTCCCCCCTCATCCTCGCCATCCTCGTCCTCCGCCATGGTCCCTGCTGTACGCATTAGTAGAGAGGCTGCCGCACCCGGGCTGCCGCCGGCTTTGCCGACGGAACTCGGGCTAGGACAAGTTCGGCTGTCAATGGCCTCGACGTCGGAGCCGCTGCCGCCCCGGCGGTTCATGACCGCCCTGTAGCTCGCGTCGCTTCCCCTACCTGTCTCATGGCGCGCTGGTTGGGACACCACCGCGGCAGGAGATGAATAGAGATGGTCACGGGACAGCAGCCACCACCACATTTACGCGGCTGCAGGAGCAGATTCCATGCACTGCTTCTACACCCTAATGGCTGATCATGACCTAGCTGGCAAGCTGGAATCTCATTCGCATCCTGTCCGCTCATGCCCAGCTTTGCGAAAGCATTCCAGGAAGTCACCCATGAGTTACAAGTACCACAGGTGAGCACTTCAAGATTCAACGTCTGGTTGGTGTACTTTCTCATTGGCGTCTACCGTGGTCCACGAGTCACCGTTATCAATCAGGTCCCTGATCAAGTTGTGCTCGGCTAAGCTGTGGCAGACCTGCTCGTGAGTCGCATGCTGCTGGTATTGAGTTCGACATGTGGCTCGCAAGTTGCTGGTCTGGTCTGGTCGCTGACGATGTTCCTGCTCTTGTGCTGGACAAACCACAGATCAGTGAGCTGACAGGCCTTCATGAACGATCTGGTGTTCTGGATCGCGTGCATCGCCATGCTCAATCAACTCTTCCCAGACAAACATGTAGTCATGTCATCGGAGCCCTCAATGGGAGCTGCCTCAGATGGTGTGCCGGAAATCAGTATTCGCAGACTTCGGCACTGCCGCGTCGTTGCTCGTTCCATTGGCACAATCATGTGCTAGTTGTACTCGTACTGTTGCACACGCAAGCGCACGAAGGGCACCTGTACTCACTACTGCACTCGGTCACATGCGTGTTTCGCTCCGCGTCGACATTGGCAGTAAGGCGTGGCGTCCTGTCACCCTAGACATGGCCATCACTTCCATCACTTCAGGGGTCAAGGATCGTGGCATCGCTGTCAACTGCGAATTCGTCTACATGTGGCCGGCGTCTATATAGGACAAGGCCCTCCCTCCAGACATGAATAGTGCCTGCGCTACTGCTGTAGACCAGGTTGCAACGAGGATATGTACTGAGGGTGGTGCTGCATGCCCTGCCTACGGAGTCCGCCCCTGTATGGCCGCCATGACTACCATCAGGGGGGGGGACTCTTGCAGGCTCTGCTTCCATTAAATATGCTGCCCTTCTTAGGGTGGGTGGACTTGCTCAGTGCCTGCGCTGCGGCGCACTGACACAAATGGTCGGCTCCATACCTCGTGGATAGTACTAGCGACGTGTCGGCCCTGGTATCCACCGACGTGGGGCACCCGGGTCCGGAACAAGGCACTGATGCGACGCACACGCCCTGCTCACCCGTCAGACATTCCTCTAAGTGATCCGTTAAAGGAACTCCTAAGACAGAGCAAGTGTTTGAACGCGTGTGAGAGCCCGCTGCCCTTTGTCCGTCTGACTCTATTTCCTGCGGGGCTGCGACGGCCTCAGGCCAGTCAGAGGTACCCACAGAGGCCCTTTGCAAGTACACTGTCTCCAGCCTCATAATCCCGTGTGAACGTCTTGCCTGACGCCTGATCACCACCACTTCCTCCTCCCACCCCCCCAGGCCGAGCCTCACAATGAGTGGATAGTTGCGTCTCCTGAAAACACTATCTGACTTTACCCCTGCTTTCGCTGCTTTCGTGTGGTACGGAATTCCACTGCACACCTACGGTAACCGCAAGGTGCGGCTTGGGAGTAGTCAAGACCGAACCGCAATCTGCTGCGAATGGCCTTGACGAAGGAGACCCACTGAGAATCTCAGCAGCTCTGTGCGACTTTGTTCCGCTTGTGCTGTGCTTACCTCTACGTACCTGTTGCGCTGCGCTCCTGACTCATCAGGTCAGATATCTATAGCACATTGCAAGTGGCTTGTGGTCTGGATGGCTGTTTCAAACTAACGTCTGTCTTGACCAGTCTGACAGCCGACCATTCAGACCCCTGGGAACTACTGTTTCCCACAGCATTGGCACTGACACGATTCGAACCATTGAGAACCGTGCCAATCGAGCTCTGCCTCGTCTTTCGGAGGAGAGGGGTGCGGCTTTCCCCAGGCCTCCGACAGCGCACGCGCAGGCACCACTCGCGCGATGGCAAAACTGGGTTTAATGGAACCTGGTATAGTGATCTGTATCGGGGACGCCCCCCCCGTCCCATGTCACTAACCGGAATTGCCGTGACCCGAAAAGCACCAGCTACGGCAAACCTGGTTTAGTTGTTCGGGGCCCAATCACCAACCGGCTCCCCTTAACTGGGGTCCTGGCTATACCCGAACCACGCTGAGTCTCACACTGCTGATCCACGGGCGGCAACATGCCTTGCTCGAGCTCGGCCTCTCTGGTGCGCTGCCCAGGCCCGTGCATCGGCACAGTGGCTGCCAAAACTGCCTTACGTGCCCGCCAGCCCTCTGACCGCCACGCCCCGCCGATCCTCCTCCACCTAACCCCCTCCACGGCGCTCGCGCGGCCTGCGGCTCGAAACCCATGTCAAGCATGCGATCGGCCTGAGGGTGCCGATGCTGGAGGGCAGGGAGGGACGAAGAGACAGTGGCGGCGGCAGCAGAAGCAGCAACGGCAAGGGGAACGTGAGCGCAGGCCCACGACCACCCCCCCTCCACAGACACACAGACATACACACACAATGCAGGCTCACAAGCGGCATGACTGCTGCAATGCTTCGACACGCGTAAGACCAGCATTTCCGGGCTCGGCGATGGGGCAATTCATTCTTCAGCTGGCTCTCAATCGGAAATTAACCTGAGAACAGCTGCAGCAGAAAGCGTGTAGCTGCAGCAGCTATAAACACGACGGGAGCACAAGGAGCAGCATGCTCAGTGGCAGTGGCAGTAGCGGTAGCAATAGCAGTAGCAGTAGCGGAAGCAGTAATACTGGCGACAGTAGAACGCGAGATCGAAATCGTACGGGCCCAATGAAATCTCGTCCTCATAATCGGATCCAGTCTCATCTGGGGTCGGCTGTGGCTGGCATCGCCTCCCAGAGGTCCCCGAGAGGCACTACGGGGCTCCAGAGCCCTCCAAGGGGCCCCCGAGAAGCCACGAGGGTGCATAAGACAGCCCTGCAAGATGCCACCCTGGGGGGTCCCACACATCAGAAAGGTACCCTGCCGAAGGATCCAACTCTATGCACAGTGTGAGACAGCATGCTGCGGCGCGTGCCGAGGAACGCTGGGGACCGCATGCCCCACCCCCGCCCCACTGGGTCCCTGGGTGGGTCGAGCCCCCCCTGGGACACAGTCCGCGTGGGCGCGTACCCCGCGTGCCGACAGGGACTGTGGACCCGACGCGGCCGCCCTCCCCGGGGCCGTTGCCGGATCTCCCTACGGCACGCGGTCCCGCCTGGAGAGTGCGCAGAAACGGGGCGAGCGGTGCACGCGAGCCCGCCCTCGGAGGCCGTGCGGGGAGCTCCTTGTTGGGCACCGTCCGCGCGCGGAGCGCGACGACACGGAGGGAGGGGCGCACGCGAACCCGCCAGCCCGCCAGCCGATCCCGCCAGCCCGCCAGCTCCCCATGGAGAGGCACGACCCGCACGAGGCGCGTGCCGAAACCGGCGAGGGAGCACCATGCGAAGAGGCCGCGGGTGGAGCCTCCCAAGACGCAACGTCCGCGTGGCGGGTGCGCCGACGTGGGCGAGGGAGCACATGCGAACCTGCCAGCTGAGCACTGGCCGCTTCGAGCCCCCACACTCGACCCCAGCCGCCCAGCACATCCTTGCAAGATGACGCCTCTCTCGGGCAGCCCAACTCCACCCAACCCCATCTGGCTCAACTCCTCTCCTATCTCCACCCAGCCACACACTCTTCCCGAATCCTCCCTGGGGAACCAAAATGTGTATTTGCATCGCCGACTCCGGTGGATCGGAGAAACGCCACGACCGTAAGAGGGACGGTGCCGCGTGCTGACGGCGATCCCCAAGGTTTGGAGGTAGATGCAGAAGGAAGGAGGGCGACGCTGGACCCTCACGAATCCAGAAAGAAAAAGGCCACACGAGACGAACCACTCACGAGCGGGTATGCACCTCGGCACCCCTCTCCTGTTACTCGCTCCTCGCACTCTGCCTGGTCAGGGAGGGGGTCAGGTGGCAGGACTTGAGACACGCTGTCCCAGGTGCGGCCGCGTTCAGGCAGAACTGGAGGCCAGGTGTACCTGCACTTGTCTGTTGTGAACACCCTCCCCCTTCCGCCACCATCTCATCGTCGCAAACCGAACGACGGGCCAGAGGAGCGGCGGCCTCTGCGCCCCCCCCCCCCCCTCCCCTTCGTCACCCTCCCCATCCTCCTCCACGGGTGCGAGGAGCGTGGAGCCCAGGGAGCAGGCAGCGCCAGCGGATGAGGCGAGCGGACCGACTATCCCCCGTCGCCCCCTCCCTCTCGCTGTCCTCTTCCCTGCTCACACACGCTTTTCAGGTTCGTCACCCTCTATCCCTCTGTCTCTCATTCAGCCTCTCCTGCTCTTCTGGTCTCTTAGATTGTGGTATCTCTCTCTCTCTCTCTGTGGTTTCTCTCTCTCTCTCTCTCGCTCGCTCGCTCTCTCCCACTCTCTCTCTCTCTCTCTCTCACTCTCTCTCTGTCTCTCTCTCGGTCTCTCTATATTCGCTGGATTTCGGGCTCGCTCGCATTCACACGCCTCCACTTCCTCATCCGCCCCTCCCCGCCCATTCTGGAGTACCTTCCCTCGCCCTCGTCCTTCTTGACCCGCTCCCCTCATTTCACCGAGTATCCTCCCGATCTTCCCTCTGTTCCTCCTCTTCCTCCTCCTCCTCATCCTCCTCTTCCTCCTCTTCATCCTCCCCCTCCTCCTCAACGCCCTCCTTACAATCGTACAGGTGCGGGATCTGGTAACACGGGGGCGCAGCCCTCCTCCTCCTCTTCCTCCTCCATCTCCTCCTCTTCCTCCTCCTCCCCCATTGCAGTTCCGTACAGGTAACTCCTCCTCGTCGCACCGCAGAGCGTGTTGCTAGGGCGGGCGGGGCGTTTCGCCTGACCCTGTTTCAACAACGCATGCTCCCGAAAATTGACCTTTTGTGATAAACACGGGTGCACGTCAGGTTGCTTTCAATATGGGGCTCCCGCATTAGCGCCGAGCACAGATGCCTGAACGCTTGCAGCACCTACACGGGTGGAGGGCAGCTCGTTTACCAGATGTGGCTCTCGCCTTAGCGCCATAAACACTCGCCTTCAAGGTGTACAAAAGCTACAATACACGGTTAGAGATGGGACTGTTTTCAAAGTGTGGTTCCAGCCCCAGCGACGCGCATATTCGTCTTAAGGTTGTGTTGCCGAAACAAAGACAGGGGTGCCATGCTGTTCCACGCAAGGCGCTCCCTTCCTATGTTCTCAAGTATTTGCTGCCACAGAGCTCGATGATTTTGAATGCAACGGCCACGTGGATGGAGAACTCATTCGTGCTGCAAAAAATGGGGTACCGCTCGACATCAACTTGAACGCGATGCTTCGACTGTTTGACACTTCTGGTAGTTAGCTACAATAATAGAACGCGATTCCATGCCCTATCTGATCAAAACACCCAAGGCGCGCTCTTTCAAGGGGACGCTTCCCGCACTGAGAAGAAAAAACATGTGAAGGAACTCATGAGGAGGGGATTTGGGACAGGGTGGGGACAGCATCGTTGATGCATCCTGGGTTTACTCTGGTTCTCCTCCTCCTCCCCCCTCCTCTCTAACACTCCTTCCAATCCTCCCCTCATCACCGCCCGATGCCCAGTCGTCATCGAGCCCAGCGCCCACCCTTCTTCGTGGCCCACCACCTTCGGAAGGGGGCGATCGAAAGCGCTGGCACCTGGGCCGGCGTCACTGTCCAGGGGTGCAGCTGTCCGAGCGACTGAGTCTAACATCTCACCTCGTTTCGCTCCCCTGTGCTCCGTAGGGCGAATTCATGTTCTGACGGCATCGGCTCTGGATGCTGACATCGAGTGAACACGTGCATCCGTGAACCATGGGCTGTCTCGGAGGTCCCCATCGGTGCGTATGAGTTGGGCGCATTGGATCGTCTTCTGTGAGCCCTGGGCCTGGAATGGGCTGCCGTGGGGCCTTCAACCTACGCTGGCGACGGCGTCGCCACCGCGTCGATGAGTCGCGAACCTGCCGTAATCGTTTTCAGTCTTCGGGAGACAATCGAATGAGTAGCCGACCCCTACAATAAGATTCATCTATCCGCGTCGCTGCTTTCCTGCCCCCCCAAGCCGTCCTCATCGAGGATGAAGAACTGGATCAGCTCTAGGGAAGTAAAGCCTCTCGGCCACTCTCTGCACGCATAAAAAATACAGCACTATTGAATTTAACCATGATGCACAATAAGCCAGGACCTCGGCTGGCGACGTGCGTAGGTGATGCCAGTAGGCCACTCCTCATGATCAGAGTCACAAGAGATCAAGGATCCCACCCCAATCGCAACGCTTCACGATGCTGGGCTGGACGGCATTGGGACACTATTACCTCATCTCCCCTCCTTACGTCGCCAACCAATCGCAACGTTGGCCAGTGCCCGGAGAGATACCGCGGATACCAAGACCAGGAGGGCCAAACAAGAAGAGTCAGAAGCAACCGCCCCGGATAACATTGCATAACAAATGTCTTTGGCTGCCTGGTCGTTATCATATTCAGCAAGAGCCTGAATTCAGTAATATTCGGATTCTGGAGGATCCCCTCGCACAGGAGCTATTCACAAAGCTGCCCACCTCATCCTCACCATGATTGCCCTCCGAAGGTTGCAGCCACAACCCGGTCCCTCACGGATTACTCTGGCAGCAAAATGTGTACTTGCGATTCAACAAGCGCAGCAGCTGTATCTTACTTGCGGCTGGTACTGCAGGGGGTGGAAAGGGGTGGGAGGAGAGAATGCCGTATGCTCCCACGGTTAGAATGCTAACGAACTCGCAGACCGTCGGATGCGGTGCAACGACGCGCCGACAAAAACTAACCGCTCCAAACCGGTGTTCAAAAACACCACGCTTCGTGACTCGGAGCTGCCGACTCCGTGTCGCTTGCATGCCTGGTTTTGTCTGCGCAGCCGGTGCGTTTTTACATATGCGCTTGGCCTACATGTGCACTTGGCCAACGCCTTCGGAATGCTGTCGCGCCCTTCGTCTCCCGTGCTCTCGCTTTTTTGCAGCGATGAGGGCTCGTGAACAGCGGCTCGTGGTGTGAACGGTTCGCACTCTGCACGACCTTGCGCGACGTGCTGGGCATCATACGAATGCGTCACTCGGGAAAAATTGCATGGGGGAGGGTGCGTAAGTGTGCGTGCGCGGCGCCACTGCGCGCATCTGGGCAGCATCGTGTTGTCACGCCTTTTCATAAAGAAGTGAATTCGATTAAAATGCGTCCCCTTTGCGTCGCTCCGCCGACTGGATTCTTCGGCGCGTGGGAGAAAAAGTGTGGGTGCGAATATATGTGCGCGTGCATGTGTGTGTGCGTGTCAACCTGCCACCCACCTGGGCGGCCACACGGCGCTTTTCCTGGCGTGCAAATACCTATTCCTACTTCGCCGACGGCATCATTGCAGTACTGGCCTCCACGTGCCCGGCTCCGTCATCGCCCGTGGGTGCCCCGGCGCTGCGGCCCAGCTGCTGCCATGGTTACCGCTGACGGGGCCGGCCGCGCCAGCACACTCAGGACGAAAATCTTCCGCCTCCGAGTGTCCCCGCCTCTTCCCCCCTCCGCGGCCGCCCTGTCCGTCCTCTCCCTTCTCCTGCGCGCTGGCCAATTCGCTTTTCGGTGCCCCCGTTCAGCTCTACCGCTGGTGCAGCCATTCTGCTTCGCCGCCAACAGAAAAACTGTGTGTGGTGTGCGCGTGAGTGTGCGTGTGCGTAAGCATGTGCTTGTACGTGTGCGTGTGCGTGTGCGTGTGGGTGTGCAGTTGCGCGTGCGTGTGCGTGTGCGTGTGCGCGTGCGTGTGCGAATGGGAGCGGGTATGCGTGTGCGTGTGCGTAAGCATGCGCGTGCGCGTGCTCGTGCGCGTGAGCGTGTGCGTATGCGTGTGCGTGTGCGTGTGCGCGTGCGCGTGCCCATGCGTGTGCGTGTGCGTGTGCGTGTGCATTTGCGTGCGCGTGTGCGTGTGAGTGTGCGTGTGGGTGCGGGTGCGGGTGTGGGTGCGGGTGTGGGTGTTTGTGCGTGTGCGTGTGCGTGTGCGTGTGCGTGTGCGTGTGCGTGTGCGTGTGCGTGTGCGTGTGCGATTGCGTGTGCGTGTGCGTGTGCGTGTGCGTGTGCGTGCGCGTGTTCGTGTGCGTGTGCGTGTGCGTGTGCGTGTGCGCGTGCGCGTGCTCATGCGTGTGCGTGTGCGTGTGCGTGTGCGTGTGCGTGTTCGTGTGCGTGTGCGTGCGCGCGTGCGTGCGTGTGCGCGTGCGCGCGTGTGTGCGTGTGTCTGTGCGCGTGTGTAGGTGTGTGTGTGTGTGCGTGATGTGTGTGGGTTACCACAAACCGCGGCACAAAGTGACGTGGCACCCCATCTGGAACTACCGAGCCGGCGCAAGGGAGGACTAGAATGAGGTGGTCAACCACCTCAAGAAGGAATGTGGCCATGTTTGCGATTGGCTGACATGCCATCTGCGACCATGAGTGTGGACCTCACTCCGCCAAGGACCCCAAGCGTCACCACGCGGACTTCTGCCAGGGCTTCGTGCGTGAGCTCAGCGAAGCCAACTACGACGTCCGTAGGCTGAGCAGGAACAAGGGCATCCGCGTCGATTGGGACACCAAGTGGCATCGAGAGCTTGACAAGAGGAGACTCAGCGCCGAGCTTGTCCAAGGCAAAAGGAAAGGGGCCCCGCCGCAGGGGAAAGGCAAGCGGCCGGCTGACTCCTCCTGGCCCAGGTCGACCCTACCCGTCAGCGCTGGTCAGCCTCTAGCAGCTACCGCTGGTAGCTCTCTCGCAGCTGCCCCGCCATCTCGACCTGTTCTGAGTTTGGCGTCCCCAGGCTCCGGGCAGTGGCCGCCCTGGTTGCTGCCTCTTCCCCCCCCCTGCCTTCGTGGCTCTCTCTTTCGGATCCATGCACCTATTCGGTGCCTCCCCCGCAGGCCTCCAGCTCCCGCTCCTGTTTCCTCCTGCCGCCGTCGCTCTGCTCCGCAGCCCGGGCCCCGTGGTGCCTCACTGCGCACTGCGGCGCTCCACTTCTCCCACGCTCCCAGCGGGGGCCTCCAGCCGGCAGGCACTCTGGGTGGCTCTTGGACGCTCGGCTGCCGACCCAGGTCGCCCTGCACCGGCGTGTGCCCTGCGTCACGGTCGGCTGGTCTTGCCGCTTACTCGTGGCCTCTGGGCCTCTCCCCCCTCTCCGCTCTGGGCGTGCCGTCTTGCTCCGCCGCTGCAGCCCCCGGCTTTGGCCCGGGGTTCGCAGGCCTTCTTTAGGTTTTGTACAGGCGCTGCCCGTGGCACCCTTTGGGTCCTGCAGTGCCCTGCGCCGGCCGGGCGACACTCGCTGCACTTCCAGTGTCTTGCCCCTCTGCAGGGTTTTAAGGCCTCACATGCAGACACCAGCCACTGGTGTTCTGGGCGCTGCCGCTCATCTGTGGCACCTTGCCCCACCGTTGGCCTGCGCCTCGTTGGCCCTTGGGTCTCGGCGCTCGCCCTGCCCGCTCCCCCTGGGCCCGCCGCTCCCCCATCTGGCGTGGCCCCTTCTGCTTCTCCCCGCCCACCGGCTCGCGTGTGCTGCCATTGGCGCATCGCTGAGTCGTCACCGCCCAGCCTCCACGCTCTGCGCCTCGTAGGCCCCCCTGGTCTCGACGCTCTGCTCGCCCTCTTCGTCCTGCTCGCCCGCCTGCCTGGCGGCCTCTGGTCCGCGCCGCTCCCCCGGGGTGGCTCCGCGCATGGGTCGCCCGCCCTGCTGCGCCCGTTTGGGCGCTTTCGTGCCTGCCCGCTTCTGCCTCTCGCCTTCCGCCGCGCCTCGTGGGCCCCTAGGTCTCGGCGCTATGGCTCCTCCCCGGGACCGCGCCTTCTGGTTCGCTGGGTCGTGTTCTGTTTTGCTTGTGCTGGTCCCTCACTGGCCGCCCAGTCCGCTGGGCTGCTTTCCACCCCCAGCTTCAGCTCAGTGCAGCTCAGTGCATGCTCAGTGCAGCTCAGTGCAGCTCAGTGCAGCTCAGTGCAGCTCAGTGCCGGCGCTGGTTCCCCCCCTCGGCGCTTCCCCTGCCGCAGTCGGCGACTCGCATGAGTGGGCCCGGCTTCCTCTCCCCCTGTCGCGCCGGGGCTCCTCCTCCTCCTTCTCCTCCTCCTCCTTCACCTCCTCCTCCTCCTCCTCCTCTTCCTCCTCCTCCTCCTCCTCCGTGCATTGCGACCTGAATTTGTATACAGCGTGTCCCCTGTTGCCCATCCGCCCGACCAGTCACCCTCTGCTCAGCCGCCGACGCAAAAAATGTGTGGGTGTGGGTGTGGGTGTGGGTAAAGCTAGCCAGCTCGAGCGAGTCAAGCATGGCATGCCCATTCCCACCCGCCCTCCCACAACATAAGAAACAGTGATGGCACAACTGGGGACTGCGCGGGCATTTCAGTGCGAGTGGGGGATACCCCAGGACACCGCATTGACGTTCGCGCGGGATGTGCGCCGCGTCCCATTCCCGCCACGCATTCCGCATCGTCGACGACAAGACTGGCCATGTTGAAAGGAACAACGGACACGTTCCGCCCTCCCACAACATAAGAAACAATGCTGGCGCAACTGGGTGCTGGCGCGTAGTGGTAGTAGTAGTAGTAGTAGTAGTAGTAGTAGTAGTAGTAGTAGTAGTAGTAGTAGTAGTAGTAGTAGTAGTAGTAGTAGTAGTAGTAGTAGTAGTAGTAGTAGTAGTAGTAGTAGTAGTAGTAGTAGTAGTAGTAGTAGTAGTAGTAGTAGTAGTAGTAGTAGTAGTAGTAGTAGTAGTAGTAGTAGTAGTAGTAGTAGTAGTAGTAGTAGTAGTAGTAGTAGTAGTAGTAGTAGTAGTAGTAGTAGTAGTAGTAGTAGTAGTAGTAGTAGTAGTAGTAGTAGTAGTAGTAGTAGTAGTAGTAGTAGTAGTAGTAGTAGTAGTAGTAGTAGTAGTAGTAGTAGTAGTAGTAGTAGTAGTAGTAGTAGTAGTAGTAGTAGTAGTAGTAGTAGTAGTAGTAGTAGTAGTAGTAGTAGTAGTAGTAGTAGTAGTAGTAGTAGGTAGTAGTAAGTAAGAAGTAGTAGTAGTTGTAGTAGTAGTAGTAGTGGTGGTGGTAGTAGTAGAAGTCGTCGTTGTAGTAGTAGTAGCAGTAGTAGTAGTAGTAGTAGTAGTAGTAGTAGTAGTAG